GATAGGACAAGGGGAAATGGGCATAAGCTGAAACACAGGAAGTTCCATCTCCAGGTGAGGAGGAACTTCTTCACTGTGAGGGTGACAGAGCAGTGGAACAGGCTGCCCAGGGAGGCTGTGGAGTCTCCTTCTCTGGAGGCCTTCCAAACCCGCCTGGATGCCACCCTGTGCCACATGCTCTAGGTGTGCCTGCTTGAGCGGGAAGGTTGGACTAGATGATCTCTGGAGGTCCCTTCCAACCTTGAATATTCTGTGATTCCGTGAAAATCCTCCTTGCCCAGGGAGCTGTGCTTAAAGGTTTTGTCTTTCAAACAACAAAGCATAAGTGCACAGACAAAAKAGCAACACTGGCTCACAATCCCAACCTGGAGCTGCTGACAGCACATAAAAAGTATTTCCTTTCTGCCTTTTCAATACCTCACTGCGGTGCTTAAATCCAGCTGCGCTGCTGCCATATTAATGGCTCTGCATAGACCCAAGGGCTGGCTGGAAGCTAGTGCAAGTGTTTGCATTTTTATGCTGCTGCTGTGAATCAGCACAAGTCAGCGATGACGGGAAGTCTCTATTTGGCAGACGTTTAATGCAGCACTGTTCTCGATGCTACCTCTACAAGACAGGTTTCCACGTCACAGAAATAGCGGAGGAGCCCAAACCACAAAAATCAGGATTTTACTGGATAAATTTCCCTGCGCAGTTTTGGYCTCTAAGGAGTCAACACAATAATTACTTTGATGGAGATGAAAGAACTAGCGTCACTTACAAATAACATTAAAATATTTTTCCCAAACAGTCAAAAATATATTTTAAACAAATATGACAGAAATTAATCCAAGAAAATTCCTAGGCACTGTACATGGACCAAACTGGAAAAGACAAATGAATTGAGAATTGCAACTGTAACATTCATCACAATCCAAACATAAATGTTAGTTCTTTTGTTACCATTTGTTGTATTGATACTAGKATTTATAAAAAACGAGGAAAAGCAAAAAGGAAGAAGCACTGCTGTTTTCTTACTGATGTGCAGTCATGTTTCAACACTGTAGCAAATGCACACRCAATTTTGCATCACACTGCAGGCATTTGGTGTTTTTAGACACACAAGTTTGAACATTAAGTATAAATGGGAGGATTTTTATGTTAAAAGCCATTGCCAGATTGCTTGCCTCTAATTGGGAAAGACAAACTAGACCATTTCTTGATTCTTGATTTCTAATTATATCAAAGTACAGTTTTCTTTTGTTTGTTTTCTCAGCCTAAGAAAACCTAAATAATTACATAAACACCTGCC